GAGGAGACGTCGGCGTCTTTTATCGAGGCTTTCCAGAGACAAGTCCCTACTTGGGAGCGGCTACGTATGCTGTGTTTTTGGCAAATTGTAGTCGGTGAGTTTACTRYTTTATACTACTTCTGTGATATTACTACTACTTCTACTTCCTGTTATCTTCTTCATCATCGTCTTTTTCACCAGTAGAAACAGCTGGTTGTTGATCACGTGAATCCTGTGATGTGAAAAAACTGTTTCCATTGCAGTTTTGTGAAAGACACCAATTTCGATACGGCCAAAATACCACCTCATCCTAGCACAAAAACATTTTGTCGAAAAACATAATTTTTTTCGAAATTGATGTGTTTCCATTGAGCAAATTTATTTTCAAAATTCTAATTTGCGCATTTTCATGGTCAATGGAAACACAGCTGGTGATTTCTATCGTAACGAAGTCCAACCCCCTCCCGTACCTTCCATGATTCTGGCACAGATCTCGGCTCCGACCCCGAACTGAGGCCAGCCGCCCTCCACCGTCACCAGGTGGTTGGTCTTCATCACGCTGGCCTCGATGGACTCCACGTCCATCGGACGGATGGTCCGCAGGTTGATCACCTGAAACACATGGAGGGGCGGGATTAACGAGCCGAACAGACGCCTGATGGGATCGTTAGTTGGCGCGTTCCTCTACCTCACACTCCACCCCTTCCTTGGCAAGGACGGCGGCGGCGTCCAGGCAGTAACCCACATACCGCGAGTGAGAAACCAAAGTGATGTGATTCCCTGAGAAAAAACAAACGGAGCGTCACTGAATAACTTCCGGGGGCAAACCAGCATTTCCTGTTTTCTATATCCTTTAATGTAAGATCTGTCAGTTGAACCTGGACAGGTTTAGTATCAACAGAAAGCTAAGAATCTTGAGCTAAAAGCTCATGGAAACTGTTTTTACATTCACCAAACAGTTCAAATGACAGGAAGTTGAATCAGAAAGTAAACAACTACAAAATGGGATTGTTGCAAATCTGTAAATACGTTACAACAAATCTATAAAAGAAAGATTCTTGACATTTTTTAAACAAGTCAAAGCAGATACCAAAATATGTTGTAAAGTCTGTTGAAAGTTTTTTTTTTTACTTGATTTAGAGTGAATATGATCCAACTGAAGTCAAATATAATTTCTCATTATTTTATATAATATATA